AAAGAGCAAAGTCCCTTTAAAGACACTAGTTTTGAGTGATTTGTGCACCTCCCGTCTTTAAAGGTAGTATTTGTCAAAAGCTGTAAGGGGTCAGATAGCAATGTTCAACTGCCTTCTTCAGGGAATTACAACCTTGTTGGCTCCTGTGATAGGGAAGATGTGAGTGTTGGGGTGCCTTACCCTCCCTGAGCTGCCTGTCCCTGAGATTTACCCTCAGCCCCTGCTCAGTGGGATCTTTCTCAGATGTACCACCTCTGACCAGGTTGGGGGGTGGAGGAGCATGTCTTATGTGGTAGCAGTGGCTAGAGGACTACTTGTTCTAATAATGATGTCTTTATATTAAATGTGAACTAGAAAAAGCACATATCACTCACCTGTGATGTCACATATTTTATTGTTCAGATGAGGATAAAGAAAGTACTTGGGTTTAAAAGAAGTGAGAAGTGCAGTAAATATTGGAGCAGGTCACAGCCCAAAAGTGCGAGACATCACACACTGTCGAGGTCTCTCTGTTGATGCCCTTTGGTGGGAGCTCAGTCCCAAGAGGGGTTAGGACAGCCCCTTTGGGCTGCCAGCCTGTCTGCTGTCCCTGTGATGCTGGCCCTCGAGTGGACATAAACCGCACTTGGCCTGCTCTTCCCTGATCTCACAGCTGCATGCAGGATACTTCCTCCCAGCATACCTGCCCTGCCCTTCTCCCAAGCCACGGGAACTTTTCCTCTGGCTCAGGGGTGTTACCAGCTGGCACCGCCCACTTCTTCCTCAGTTGCTTGTTTATCTGCTTTTTGGGCTGGCTGTTCCCCATGCCTGTTCCCCATGCCTGCTCCCCATGCCTGCAGCCCAGAGCATCAGAGAACATCTGGTAGCTGAATTGGGCCTGTGGATGCCTTCTAGGCGCATGGGTCGGGAGGGAGGGAGCTGTGCCTTCTCCACCAGGCCAACCCCATCCCTAGACCTCCATTCCTGGTCTGATCCCCATCTACAGAGCCCCTGTCCTGGACCAGCTCTGTCCCTGGAGCTGCTTGTTCTGAGCTGACTTAGTACCTGGAGTCTTGTCCTGGGCTGATTTCCCTGTATAAGTAACAGGTCTATTTAAGCTTTTTTTGTTTTGATTTATGACCTAATGAGGTTGGAGAGAGATCCCCAGGCCAGCTTGTCACCCCAGATTCTATGCTAATTCTGGACACTTTCCTTCTGTCTGCTTATTATCCCTTTGCCCTGCGTGTGTGGATCCCACCTTCCCCTGGCTGGACTTGGGGTTCCTGGGCAGTTCTGTCCTGAGATGGTTGGTTGGGCTTTGCCCTGCTTAAAAGCAGATGGCTGCAGAACTCCACCAAGAGCAGGAGGAGGACTTTAGCCCTCACTGGTGGGGCCATTAGAGCTGGTGATGCCTGGGCCACTTGGGAGAAGCCCTTCAAGTCCATGGCTGTCTTCCTTTGACCATTTTAGCTACCTGAGGGTGCCTTTTGGCACTGGGTGATGTGTACTATGGGCCGGACTTTTTCCTGTGGGAGACAAGAGCCTGCGTTGTCCAGAATGCCTTCTCTTTTGTAATCTGATTGGCTCTCGCTATCTTTGGGGGAATAGGAGCCACTAATTCAGGCAGCACCAGGGCTTGTTGGCAGGGAGGCTGGTCTAAGTGACCTGCCCACCCTGTCTGGGTGCCTGAATCATCCCACAGCAAGGCCCTGTGAGCAGCCAGAGCCCCCCTTCTTGCTACTGCACCTCTAGAACAACCTGACTCTGGGGTCAGGAGCTTTCCTCCTGCCCTGATTGGTGACCTCCAGCCATCCCAGCACATCAAGTAATCAGCTTACCCCACAAACATTGACTACGGCTAGTTGCCAAGGTGGTTCTGCCTCTATGGAGTTACTGATCTCATGGGGCCAACCAGCGATCAACAGACAGTGGGAAGGACTTGGGCCAGTCCTGTGAGGGGAGCGCTCTGAAGACACACCAACTGACCTTTTAAATTATCAACAGTGTGTCACGTAGTTAAAAATAGCCTGGTGGCTTAGAACATAAAATGAGGTCTGTTTCCTCCCATCTCCACCCCCACCCCCAACGTGCTGAGCTCTGAGAGCCACTGTCTAAAGATCTGACTTTGTATTATACCCACATCTTTATCACTATTAGCCTGTGTCTGTCACAGAAAACGAGATTATAGCATATACAGGGCACTTCACTCCCTTCCTAGTTGTTGCTAGTTATGTTATTTATATAACACATATACTTTGCTCTGAAACTGCAATGAAATCTTTTACTTTGCTCTTGGTTGGTGCTGAAATACTGGCAAAAACAATTTATGTTATAAATGATTCTCTGAGTTTCCTCTAGAATCAGTGACCAGACCTTTGGAAGGGAATTGGAACTGAAATGTCATCATCCAAAGCCAGTTGCCCTGCTGGGAGTGGTGCAGGGAACACCCCATGTCCTGGCTTCCTTCACTGGTTTCAGTCAAATTCAGCTACAGGCACCCCTTGCCGCATTCCCTCTGCTGTGTTGTGCGGAGACACTCCTTCCAGTGACTGTTTCACGTGGGGTGCCAGAGAGCCAGCTTTGAGTTCTCCAGTGTCTGAGAATTGGTCCTGGGGCTGTGAGTTTGACATCTCGTTGGCTGGGTATAGAGTTCTAGGTCAGAGTTGGCACTTTGAGGAGGCTGCCTCATTGACTGTGCCCATGATTGTCGATGAGGCCCCTCCCCACCCCGCCTCCCCGCCAACCTCCTCCCTTCCTAGGTGAGCAGGGCTTGTTCTTAGCTCTCAGGAATCTGAATTTGGCTGGAACTGGTCTGGTGGTGGATTATTTTTCATTTACGCTTACATGGCAGGGGCACACACTTTATTTTAAATAGTTCTGCTCTCAGTTGAGGGAAATACTACTCTTTCCTTCTCCTTCCTGATCTCTCTCCATTCCTATGAACTCCTATTACGTATTGTCAGGACTTTCAGCTGGTTTGCCATGTCTTTGATGTTTCTCTTCTATTTCTCACATTTGGTTTTTGGATATCTTCATTTTATTATTATTATTATTTACATCTGAAAAATTGAACATTAATTGATATACAGTAAAACACATCTTAAGTGAACAAGTAGATGTACATGTGGGTGTGACTGCATCCTTTGTTATCTGAGCCTCCCCCATCCCAGAGGCAAGCACTGTTCTGGTTTCAACCCCACCATTAGGTCTGCCTTTTCTGGAGTTTGGGGCTGTTGTGAGTGGAGCTGCTCTGAACCCCGTGTACCTGTCTTCTGTGGCTTCCTGTTTCTTTGTCTTGGGTGGGTAACCAGTGGGGAACGGCTGGGCCTAGAGCTGGGTGTGAGCCTGCGAAGGCTTTTTTGAGGCTTGTATCTTCTGCACTTCCAACAGCCTCATGCCAAGAGGGCACAGCTGGCCCACTACCCAATGGTTGGAATGACCCTTTTTATTTTATCCAGCTGGTGGGAGTGAAGTGGGATCTTGTGATTGTAGTTGGCATTCTCCTGGTGACTTAGGATGCTGAGCACCTTTTTACATGCTTATTGGCCATTTCTGCATCTTTTGTGACACATATTCAATTCCTCTTTTGTTATTATTGAGTTCTAGGAATTCATCTTTATTCTGGATCCAAGTCCCATGTCAAATACATATATTGGGAATAGTTTCTCCCAGTTGGTGGCTTGACTCTTATTTTCTTAAGTAAATATTTGATGAGTTGAATGTGTTCCCATGTTATTATCTAGATTAAACATTGACTTTTTGTACTTAAATGTTTTATTGGATTACAGAATATCTTATTTTTAAAACGTTGAGGTTTAATTTGCAAGAGCTCTTGATTGTTCCTTTTTAAGTAGAATTCTGATCTTGTGTGTTTCAGCCTCTTAGATCCTGGTGAGGACTTGAACTAGATGTTTTTGAAGTTCTCTTTGTCTGAATTATTTTGGGGGGGAGCGATCAGCTATGCCAAGGTTTTCTCCTGGTATTCCTTTGCCTGTTGGTGATCATGCCATCTGGTCCCACTGCGTGGACAGGCTGATGAGGGTTTGCGGTGGGTGGGGCTGGTGGGAGAGGGAGAGTGCCTAAATGGTTACAGTGCACTTGGGATAGAATTCCTTAACCAGATCACCTTGTCATATTCCAGGGTCCTCCTCTCCTCTCTGGATTGGTTGGGATCTGGCTTGACGTCCTTTGGGGTCTTCTGGAAGGAGCCCAGCGGTCTTGGCCTGTGTTTCTTTTCAGCTCTTATTTCTGCCTTCATATGTCCAAATGTACCTCTTCTATCTTCCTGCAGCTCCCCCAAACTCCTCATTCTACGTTCAGTTGTGTTTCTGTTTTCTCTGGTGGGTGTCCTTCTGGTGGGACGGCCAGCTGTGTGCTATGTGGGCTCTGTGGGCCTCTTGGGCCAGGATGGATGTGACAATGGGGCGATGTACTCAGGCAGGGGGAAAAGGTTGTGTAAAGGCATTAAGAGGTGAGGTTCATCTGTGAGATGAGGTTGGAAGCAGCAGGCTGCTTGGATAGATGGGTGGGGCTTGGGTGGTGGCAGATGTGGGTCAGGGTGCTCGAGTGTGTTCAAGTTGTGCTAAAGGTGTTGGGCGCAGATGGCTCCAGGCCCAGAGAATGTGTGTCATGTCCTTAGCACCAGCATGGGCTTGGCTGGGACTCTAGTCTTTCTTCTTTGCTCTTGGCTCTGATATCTTTCCTGGTTTTTGGATTATTATCCATTGTGGTCGTGTGGTCATGACCATGTCCTTAAAGTCACATGTAAATTCTTTCTTTAACTTGATTCCATCAGCAGATGTGTCATGAGTGAGGTCTCAGGTGTTTTTAGGGAGGAAGTACATTGGTGCTGCAGTGGGTTTCAAAGTTGCTTTGGCTTCTGGAGATCTTTTTGATGAACTATCTGTGCAGGGTGGGGCCCCTCAGGGTTGGCCCCTCCCTTGAGTCCCCCCCTCCCCAGGATCACTAGACACCATGAAAAGCCCTGCAGGTGTCCCTCTCAGCTGTATGTGTCTCTCTAGGACCGGAAGCTGACCAAGCTAGAGCGGCAGCGCTTCAAGGAGGAGGCTGAGATGCTAAAGGGCCTGCAGCACCCCAACATCGTGCGCTTCTATGACTTCTGGGAGTCCAGTGCCAAGGGGAAGAGGTGCATTGTGCTGGTGACTGAACTGATGACCTCGGGGACACTGAAAACGTGAGTGCATTGTCTGCCTGGGCAGCCAGAACCTCAGGGTGGGCTTCGCCCAGGGTATGCAGCCCACAGTAGCTGAGTGGTCCTGCCTGGCGTTCGGTCAGCACTCCATTTGGGTGTCCCTGTTTGGGTGATGAGTACACGGCCCACAGCAGTGGGAAGCCCTTCCTTACAGGAGTAACCGATGAGCCACGCCCCCACCCCCAGGTACCTGAAGCGGTTCAAGGTGATGAAGCCCAAGGTGCTGCGTAGCTGGTGCCGGCAGATACTGAAGGGGCTGCTGTTCCTGCACACCAGGACGCCCCCCATCATCCACCGGGATCTCAAGTGTGATAACATCTTCATCACTGGGCCCACCGGCTCTGTAAAGATCGGTGACCTGGGCCTGGCGACCCTCAAGAGAGCGTCCTTTGCCAAGAGTGTGATAGGTAAGCTCACCTCCCCATGGGCCTGCCAGCCCTTGAGCCCCCTCATTCCCCTCAGCCAGGCTGTGGCCCTGCATGGCCTGCGTGGGTCCCTGGCTGTGAGTCAGGTAGTAAGGTTGGCTGACACCTGAGGGGCTGTGGGCACTCAGGAGTAGGAAGGAGGCCTGAATGTCAGAGGAGTTCTGGGACTCTGGCTAGTGATGCTGGAGCTGGCCTCAGCCAGTGGGGAGGTGTCCCCCAGGATGTGAGGCTGGCAGAAGGAGCCCTCCAGGTGTTTGGGGCCTGGAGTGACCAAGTATTTGGGTGGTCAGGGCCTAGGGGCTCCTGTGTGGATGCCGGTTAACTGGCTGTTTTATCCTCTGTGTTTCTTTTCTTTCTCTGTAAAACTACTCTGCAGCCTTTCTGGGTGGGGCCCTCGGCCCTTGGCTGCAGTTAGGAGTGGAGAAGGGTACATCTGGTATCGTGTATGCTGGCCCCAGTGGGCACAGAGTGGGTGCTCTTTGTCTATGGTAGTCAAGCCCCAGGTGGTGGGCCCTCCTGGCTTTTCCAGGAAAACACTTGGAGTGGCTTTGGGGCAGCTGTTTATGGAGTTCAGGACATCTGAAAAATGCCAATGTGCTGCAGGCCTTGAAGGCTCCTAGTGTGGCACTGAAAGATATCCCAGAGACAGCTGTGTAAACATTTTGATTTTTTTAAAGGTTTTATTTATTTTATTTTTAGAGAGAGGGGAAGGGAGTGAGAAAGAGAGGGAGAGAAACATCGATGTGAGAGAGAAACATTAGTCAGTTCTCTCATGCATGCCCCAACTGGGGACTGAACCTGCAACCCAGGCGTGTGCCCTGACCGGGAATCATTCTGAAAGTCTTCCAAAGTCAACAGAGAAGTTAAAAGCAGTGTCATTGAAGTGGATTCTACTCTTTGCTTTCAACTGGACAGATGATCAGTTGGACCTATTTTCATAGAAGAATTGTGTTAAAGCAAAAGTTTGTTACAGAAAAATTTAAAAACCTAGACCAGTGTAACTAAAGGAAAATCAGCTGTAATCTCACCTGCCAGATGAGTCATTTTGGTCTCTGCTTGCGGTTTTATACAGGTGAGGTTAGTGTGCACACACATTGTGTATTTTGTTTATTTTACTCAGCCTATCATAAATCTTCATGTCCTTAAAACTTCAGAGTGAACATTATTTTAAAACCTTTTGTGCTTAGAAAGCACAAGCAGTTTCCACCTTACCATCTCCCTGGTGCCTGCCAGATGAGTAGCACCTGTCCAGGTGCCCCCAGATCATCATCTGTGCTGCCTGATACTCTGCTGTGTGGTGTGCCTGTTAGGGGATATTCAGGGCCTTTCTGGGATTTTGCAAGTTAAACAGCTCTGTGGTGACCATGAGTTTTTGTTTGCTCTGGGTTATCTGGCCTGTGGAGGGGAGGGTATGCTGGCTGTGTTCTGCCTCCTTGATGAGAGGCACCTCAGCATTTCAGACATAGACCCTGTTCCTGGGAAGTAATATTCTCCCAGCTCTGTGGGCTGATCCAACCAGAATCAGGAGGGTCTAGGGGGCATTTTTGGGAACTTATATCTGAAAAACACTCCTGTTTAAAGCAGGATTCCAGGACTGATGGCATGGCATATGGGTGGAGGAGGAGGCGGCTTTGGGCTGTGAGGAGCAAAGAAGGCTTCTGAGTTGACAGCCACTGACCCTGCATCTGTTGCTCCTGGGCACAGGCACCCCTGAGTTCATGGCACCTGAGATGTACGAGGAGCACTATGATGAGTCTGTGGATGTCTACGCCTTCGGGATGTGCATGTTGGAGATGGCCACCTCAGAGTACCCCTACTCAGAGTGCCAGAATGCTGCACAGATTTACCGGAAGGTCACCTGTGTGAGTTCCCAGCCACTGAACTGGCTCTGTGCCTTTGTAAAATCACAGCAGCTGTGTGAGGAAGGGGACAAGGCTATTTAACAGGTGGTGAAACTCATGGTCGCTTAGGTCTCTGAGCTAAAGGTAGAAGCCACACAGCAGTAATAGTAATGTGGGTGCTGGGTGCAATGCCTGGAGGCTATAATTGGGGCCTCACAGTACTGCAAAGTTGGGGCCCCCACCAGGTGCCCAGGTTACCTGTCCCTGGAACCCCTCTGAGCTGTTCTGGGGGCTGCTGGCTTTTCGATCTTCTGGTATGTCCCCAGAATTTAATTGGGCCTATCATCCTGTCCTCCCTATGCACTCGTTCTGCTTGGTGGGGAGCACAGAGGGAGTGTCCTAGTCAGGAGAGTTGGACTGTGGCTTTTCTGGGCCCTAGGCTGTCACAGTCTTTTTGTGCCTGTAGCACTAGGTTCCATGGTCCCCAGCTCTTGGCTGTTTGAGCCCAAACCTCCGTGTATCCTCACTGCTTCTGTACCATCCCCCCTCCCATACTCCCCCTGAGCCCTCCCTGAAGGTCACAACTTGTCTTTCTTCTTTGGTTCTTAATTCTGAGTTAGTGGTCATTTGTTTGCTGTGAGCACCTCCTGTGTGTTGCTGAGGTTTTGAGTCAGGAAGGCAGGGTCAGTGGTTGGAGGCACTGTGGGTTTGGGTCAGAGACCCACAAATAGGCATGCAGCTCCCAGTGGTGCTGGCAGGAGAAGGCTTTGGGCAGTGTCCTCCATGGGGGTGGGCAACCTGAGGGATGTCAGGGCTTCACTGGCAGGACTTGGAGGTGTCAGTGCTGGAGTGTGAGAACAGTCTGAAGACCCTCCTGGCCCATCTGCTGGCCTTGGGGAGACAGGGACTGAGCTCCTGACTGCGTGATCCTCAGCCACCCTGGTTCTCCTAGCCGCTCTACTGCCCCTGTTTAGGCCCCCAGAAGCAAGGCATGGCCAGGGGCTTGAAGCTCCTGTGTTGCCCATGTCAGTTTGGGCAAAGCAAGGCAGAGCGAAAACCCTGCCTCCTTGAGGAAATCAGACAGGGAGCATGTTTCCTGATCCCCAGTTGTCTGTCCTCTGTTCAGACCTTGTGCTCCTGCTAGCAGCTCACTGACTATGTACCCACAGCTGGTTCAGCCTCCAGCATGTGCCCGTAACCAAGGTCTGGCGGGGTCATTGTGCCCTTAACTTTCAGCTACCCTGATACTGTGTATCTGAGCCAAGACACGTGAGCCCCTTCAGAACAGTACCTTGGCATGTTCTTCACCAGCTTTGGAGGCTTTGGTTTTTCAGAGATTTAAATGACAGTGTGTGTACACACTTGCCTGTACTTATAGTTCCTCAGACCACCTGCCCCTGTACGGACCCTGGCCCTTCTTCCTGGCATATTTAAGCCTATTTTTCTGTTGGCTTCAGTGGAAAAGCACAGGGGTCTCACCTTCAAGGTTTCCGTGTCTGCTGCAGACTCCCTCCAATGTTGGATACAAACACAATCCCCATTGGTTACAGGCATGGGTCCTGGGGATCAGGGATTTGGTAGGTACAGTGGAGCTGCTCCTGGGTCCTGGGAATTGCTGGGGATCCTACACTTTCTGGATCCCAGGGCTCTCCTCCCTCATTGTGGGAAAACATATGCTTCCCACAGAAACGTATGATTCTGTACATTAAAAAAGAAATTCAGGAGAGGCCTTTAAAGGCAGAGTGTTGCTGAAGGAGGAAGAACATGATGGTTGAGCCCTCCGTGTGTTTAAGATGTTTGAAAACCAGGTGCCCCTTAGGCAAACCCCCTTTCCTAGCAGATGACAAAAAACCCTGTGGTCTGGCCCCTGCTTCTGGAATCCCTTCTGTTCGCTAGTTCTTTCCCCATACCACCTCTGGTCCGTGTGGATGCTTTGCCACACCCTGGCACCCCCTGCCATGAAGTCATCTGGCCTAGTCGCTGACCAAGGACCTAAATGGTGGAACTGCATAGCACAGTCATTTGCAAAAGTCTTGAGCTACCAGGCCTTGACTGTCAATCCTGCTGTGGCCACAGTGGGGCCAGGGTCTTTAGTAGCCCTTTGTCAGCAAGCAGTGACAACAGATCACGTCCTCAGCACCATTGAGCAAGAATGTGGTGAGAAAGCTAACCCTTGCTCAGCACCATTGAGCAAGGATGTGGTGAAAAGGCTGACCATTTTCTCCTCCAGCCTCCAAGACCCTCTGGGTGGCACCAGAGGCCCTAGCCTCGGGCACATCCACCCTTCCTCACCGCATTTCCTCCATGCATCAAAGTGAGCGAGTGTCCCCAGTTTTTCTTCCCAAGACTTCATTACTACAGTTGCCCCACCCTCCAAGCCTCCGCCTTCCTGCCCTTTCTTCTTTGGGTGTTAGTGGGAGGTGAGTAGGAAACCCCTTGTAGAGGCCAGTTCTGTGTCAGGTGACCCTGCTCATCTCCTCTTCAGGGCATCAAGCCGGCCAGCTTTGAAAAAGTACATGATCCAGAAATCAAGGAGATTATTGGGGAGTGTATCTGCAAAAACAAGGAGGAGAGGTGAGTTCCAAGCGTCGCTGAGTCAGGAGTGTTTCTCCCACTGAAATCTTTCCAGGTGGCCTGCAGAGGGCTTTCGGAGACAGGCTGCTTCAGGCCCAGGTACCTGCCAGCCAGTTGAGCAGTAAGTGGGAAGCCCCTGGAATAAGCAAAATCAAAACCTCCTTTACTTTGGGGACTGCCCTGGAGCCCCCTTCTCTCCTTTGCCGGTTGCTTCTTGTCCACCCAGCCTGGAGCGAGGGGTTCATGGGGACTGGCTCTACCCATTCTTGCTTTTGTCTGTGTTGTTCCTGGTGGACCCTCTCTTCTTAACTCCAGGCTGCGCATTCCACGCACCTATGTCTTATCCACCTCAAACCCTCCTGCAGGTTACCATGTTCACATCAGATGCCACCAAAACCAGCCCCCACCTCCTCTGGTGGTCACCAGGAAACTAGGCGTGTATTTTGAGCTTTCCTCCCTTCTCTCCTCTCCCCCCTCCCTCCTTCTCCTTCCTTCCTGCTTCTCTCCTGCTCATCCATCCTCTGCCTTCCCATTCCTCCTCATCTTCTACCACCTTTTCCGCACTCCCTCATGCACCCTCCTGGCCCCTGCATACCCAGCATGTGGCCACCCTGCTCCCTGTCCCCAGCGTTGATCACTGTCCTTTTCCATGGCCATCATCTCTCAGGTAGAGGCCCTGTCCTACCCCCTGCATGTTATCATGTTTTATTTTTTAAGGAAAAATACTAAAAAATTGCAAAATATAACCCATATCAGAAAAGTATAGGAGCAACCATGTAGAGCCAAAGAATCCTCACAGCAGTCCCTGTGGGACCACCTCCTAGACCAGGACCGATAGAGCCTGGGCCATGACCTTGGGCCCTTCCCAGGGACCCCACAGCATTTGTCGACCTCACTGAAGGTGTCCTCACCTGATGTCCCCCTTTCATGTGTGGTAGCCATCCCCAGGAATGGGCCACTGGAGTCTGCAGCTCTTGATGACCACAGATTTGATACTGGAGGAAGCCATGCCTGGGACAATGCATGGGTTCATCTGTGCCAGAGACACGAATTGGTGTTTGGAATGCTGATTTAGGGGCAAAGTGGTTACTGTGGCAACACCCAGCAGCACAACTGCCCTACCTATCCTGAAGAGCTTCCAGAAGAATCCCCCGAATATGGGCTTCTGGACTTTCCTGGGTCCAGTTTAGTCTTATTGGAGCCAGATATCTTTGTGGTGACTGAGTTAACCAGCCCTTCAGCAGGCCTGTGTCTCTGCAACAGAGCCTGGTTTATAATCCTCTTCTAGAGTCCCTGAGTTGGTCATCATGGGCATGTTTTCTTTTTATAATCAGAGAAGAAAGTCTTAAATACTACACAACGAGATGTGTTCAGAGTAACTTTTTCTCTTTCCCCAGGAGTTAGGGAATCCACATGTAAACTGTTGTGTGCCCCCTGGAGGGCAGAGCGTGCCTTGCAGGTAGTGCAGTCAACTTTGTAGAAAAGAGCTGGGTGGGTCTCAACCTCATCACCCGTCTGTGTCCAGGGCCCCCTAGCAGGTATGCCCTTCAGCTGCTCCCTCCTCAGGTACCAGATCAAGGACCTGCTCAGCCACGCCTTCTTCGCGGAGGACACGGGCGTGAGGGTGGAGCTGGCTGAGGAGGACCATGGCAGGAAGTCCACCATTGCCCTGCGGCTCTGGGTCGAGGACCCCAAGAAACTGAAGGGCAAGCCCAAGGACAATGGGGCCATAGAGTTTACCTTCGATCTGGAGAGGGAGACGCCGGACGATGTGGCACAGGAGATGGTAATGTGATACTTGCTGGCGGTGCATGGTGGGTGGGCTGTGCAAATCGTGGTATATGCCTCAAACACTTGTGGTTTCCAAAGGTTAGAACAAAGTCAGAAAGGGTATGTGGTCTCCAGTGAGAGGACAGTCTGGAACAAGGACTGTTTGTTGAGTGCATCTGCAAAGGACATTATAGTTTGGAATCCTCTGCTGCAAAGATGCAGGACCCATATGAGCACAGATCTGCTCAGAAGCAGTGCAGGGAGGGCCCCAGGGACTTTGGTATATCACAAAGCCCCTGTTTTGACCAGATTCTTGCTGACTGCATAAATGTGGGCCTTTGAGTTTTATTTTGTTTTCAAGTGCAATCGTGGCCTAGAAGGCTCAGAAGGAGCAGGAGTATAGGGGATGTTCAGTGTTGCTGAGAGAGGAAATGTGCCCATGAGAAATCAGCAAGACTGATTTCTACTGGAAAAACTGAGCAGAAGTAAAAACCAGCATGGTTACTGCCAAGAACGAGTGCTTGGCTGCGCCACCATAGCCATAGGAAGTGTCTGTTTTCTTCTTTTTGTAAATAAATGTTTTACTGAATACAGCACGTCTACCAAAAACGTATACAAGTCACAAGGGTGCGGCCAATAGATTCTTCACAACTGGACTCCCTGGCCCAGGATGGGTTTTAAGAGTAGGAAGTAGGCCAGGTGCTGGAGGGTGGCCTGGAAGAGGTAGGGCGAGGGGACCTGGGCAGCAGGTCTTCCCGCTGTTTCATCAGTCCCTGATCAGATGAAGAAACAGAGGCTTGCCATGCCATGTAAGCTGTGGGAGCCACAGACCAAGGGTGGGTTGATGGGCTCACTGGGGGCCAGGCATGTGGTAGAGGGAGGATCCATGGGGCTTGGTAGTACAGTAAGTGAGCATGGGATGGAGCGGGTGCTGCACGGCCAGTGAGGGCCCCAGCTCCCACCAGACAGTGGCCTGTGCCCTTACTCCATCTGGCGTTTGCAGTGTTTGTGACATCCTGCTGATGTCCTAGAGCCCAGGTCAGGACCACCCTGCACCTACCCACCTGTTGGTCCTATCCTCGGGCCCAGAAATAGACACATACTATAAGCAGATTTAATGGGCTTTTTGGCTCTATGCTTCTGGGAGGATTTCCTGTGACTTTGTTTGGTGTGCTGTTGAGTTGCTGTGTATTTACTGAGAGTTGCATTAAGGTAATGATCAGCACAGCCGTCCTGTGAATGTAACACTACTCTTACTCCTTTTGTTGCACCATGATCCCTTCCCACTTTATGCTGAGCTTTAAAGCACAAACAAAAGTGTTGAGTGAGGTGCTCTGTAGGCCAGTAGCCTGTGAGCCAAGGTTTAGGAGTATGGGTCATGTGCAGTGTCCTGGAGGGACCTCGGGCTGGGGGGCCTGGCCAGTAGTGTACACTGAGCAGGTGACAGGAGGAGGGGGTGGGCCCCCTGTGGAGCTGAGGTGGGTTCTTGGGATGGCCTTGAGTGGGTATGTCCCTCTGGGCTTCTGAGGTTGGGGCCAGTGCCAGCAGCTCAGGAGACATAGGTGGTAAGCAGCCCTCCCGTTCCCTGAGAGCACTGTGCCTATTCTGCGTCTGAGTGGGCACCAGAGGAGACTTTCCGCTCCAGGAGAGATTTGAAATTCAGTGGGAGCCAAGCTGGGTCAATTGTACAATGACAGGAGGACAACAGGGGTGTTGGCACAGAGGGATTCCACGTGGCGGTGCTTCCCAGTGCTGCCTGTGCCTCACCCTACCAGTCAATGGTTCCTGCTCAGGGTTCTCTGATCCAGCTGTTCTTCCTGGAACCAGCCCACCCCCTCTAGAGGACTCTTGCCAACCTGGAATGCTGCCCCCTCCTGCACAGCTGCCCGCCCCCAGGCCTATCCTCACCAGTCCTTGGCACTTGACTGACCTGGTGGGCATGTGGTATCTAGGCCTGTTCACAGTGGAGGCTCCTGGGCCCAGTGTTTCTTCTTCCTCCCTTCTGCTCCTCTCCCCCTTCTTCCGTCTACTTCACTCGCCTTAGGAGAGAGAGGAGCCCAGTGCTTTAGGGGGAGCTGCCTGTGCTGAGCCAAAAGCAATTGCATTCTTCCAGGTCTTGTCCTGCATGCACGTGCCAGCCCATATGTAAACACTAGAGTTGACACTAGGACCTGGAGCCCTCTGGAGCTGTCCCTGGGCCAGTGCCAGGACCCTGAGGAGGCTCACTGCCCTTGGCTGTTCTGTTTGACGACAGTCACTTACCCAGAGCTTTAACTCAACATGCATTCTTCTTCAAAACTCACAGTAACAGAGAGTGAAGCATCATGCCAGTTGTCATAACAGGAGGGTAACTTCACAAGGAAACTCAGTGAGAGCATAGAGGTGTCTGTCATTGCACCATGGATCTAGGGATCCGGAATGGTGTTTGGGTTGCCTTGGTCTTAACAGCCAACATCAGTGAGTGCTGAGGGTGGAAGATGTTCCTGAACCTGATGCTCTTTCTGATGAGGCCACCTCGGGTGGGGGGGAGGCAGGTGAGACTGCTTTCTCCCCTTTCTCTAAATTCACATCTAAAGTCACTACCCAGCAGGTCCCAGGTAGTGACTGGGATGGGGGAGTGGATCAGAATGATGATGCCAGAGGGGCTGAGAGAAAGGCAGGTCTCTGGGGCCTGGGCTGGCTCTGATCTGGAGGTGTCCCCTCAGTATGAACTCCCAGGAGAGGGAAAGGGGTTGGCGTCTAGCCCAGGGGGTTCTTGAGGTCAGGGTACCAGCCCTTCCTTCTGCTTTCACAGCCTCCAGATAATGGGGCATTCAGAGTAACATGCAATGTGGCTACATTCTTCCCTGACTGGGAAAAAAATAGAAGAAACCTCTCAGGGTGGAAGTGGGGGGAGAAGGGGCATCTGTAAAGATAGAGATGGAAGGGAAAATGGGTCACAGGCAGAAAATAGAAGTGTCAGGCAGGAGCATCTGTGGGGCACCTTCTTTTCAGTTGCTGCGTGGGCCCTCTGGGTGATGGATGGGGCTGACCCCAGGCTCAGCCCCTTACTGTCGCCCTATCGTCAGCATGGTGTCTGCATGGTTCATTCTGTCAGAGTCATTTTCTGAAATGTTTTTGAAGCAATCGCAAACTTACAGAAAATTTGCAAACATGGACCAAGAACTGTTTGAGATTATATTGTAGCCTGATGCCCTGTGACCTGGATTTCGCCATGTTGGCTTCCCACAGATGAGATTCTTTCCCTCATAGCTGCTTGGGCTGTTAGAACCGGAGGGTCCTCCAGTCCTGGGTCCTCAGTGGTTCAGTGACACCTTCACGGCTGGTGGTGGTCAGGGTTGTGTCTGCCTTCAGGAGTCCAGTCCTGAAGGGTGTGGCCAGCCTGCCACATCACTAAGCTCCCTCTCAATCTATCAGCTCATCTTCAGGAACACTGGGCGCAGACCAGCCCAGTAAGGATTCTTTCTGTGATCATGTGGTTGAGGAGTGTGCCGGGGCTCTGCAAATGCAGTCATCATTAATAACTGTTTTGTGGGAAGGTACTTTGGAACTATGCTAATGTCCCATTTTCATCAAATTTTCCATTTATTTCTATCTTTGTGGACTCACAGTTTGGTTTTACTCAGTAGATTACATGCTCCTTTGGTGAGTTACCTCTCACTGTGAAACAAATGACCCAACTTTGAACTGTGCTCACACAGTCTCCCCTAGCTCCAAGGTCAGGAGTCCTGGAGTGGCTTAGCAAGGTGGATTGGGATCAGAGTCCCTCATGAGGTATGACTGGGGTGTTCCCCAGGGCTGACCTAGGCCGATGGGGCTGACCAGGGCTGAGAGTCGGCATCTCAGCTCATTCTCCTGGCTGCTGGTAGGAGGCTCAGTTTCTAGCCAGGTAAGTTGTTCCTCAGGGTCATTCATGATGTGGCTTCATGTGAGCCAGTGAACCACAGGAGGGAAAGAGACAGAGACATAGAGACTGAGAGACAGGCTGAGAGACAGCAAGAGAGAGAGGTAGAGACAGACTGACACAGAATGAGAGAGACAGAGGCACAAAGAGAAAGAAAGAGGCTGAGACAGAGATGGAGAGATAGAGGGACAAACAGAATGCACATTCATGGACTCCCTTTGTGGAACCTCATATTGACAGTGATGACTGCCACTCCTGCCACCACAGATCATTTGTGTTCCTCTGGGGTGCATTTGTGGATGTGTCCTTCGAACCATCATGGTGTCACTGTGTATTTTGATGCTCAGAATGTGCCAGATTCGGCTGGTGGGTAGCCCTGGGTGCTGGCTTCTGTGTGTTCCTGCATGTCCTCCGCTCTTTGTCAATGCCCCCTGTCCTCTCCCTACTGAAATCTCTGGCTGAGTTCTGCCATTCATGTCCTGTTGGTCATGTACACACATGTTCCTGTTGACATTTGTGTGTTTTCTGTTGTACGTTGAAAACTGTGAGTTCACACAGTCCCTGACCAGCATTACAAGCTTGGTTCTCTGGTTTTCTCCCTTCCACATGGGAATCCCATACTGATGCCGAAGAGCCTGGCTTCCCCTCTTTCGTGGTTTGGTCATGAATCTCCTTGGAGAGAGGCGTGATGTTTCCTGGGGAGGGGCGGCTTCTTTACAAATGCTTTCCAACTCTGTTGGGTAAATCGGGTTCATAATGTTGCTAGGCATGGTGCACACTTTCCTGGCCTTAAGCTATGGAATGTGCCTCTGTCCCCGGCCTCCTTGACTTCTCAGAGAATGCAGAGAACTGCACTGGTCTCAGATCCTTGTACCCATCCCCAAGCACGTATATTCAGCCAGGACCATGTTCCCGCCCTTGGGCAGCCCAGGTGTTGGGCTCGAGGAAGCCTCAGGGCTCAGATGGTGGGCTGTTCCAGAGTGGGAGGCAGATCAGGGTCCCCCCGTTCCCTTCATTCATCCAGGCCATGTTAGTGGTTCAGATGGTCACTCTCCCCATGGATTTACAGTTGATGATGGCTAGAGTTTATGTCCTTATGGGATGACAGAAGCATCCTTGAAAGAAGGGGGGAAGGGGCCCTGAGGAGGGAACTTTGGGCAAAGACTCCATAACTGGGGGGTGGCAGGGCAGGTAGCAGGACAGGCCCAGCAGTGGGATGTCTGGGCAGGGATGGTCCCAATAATGACGGGTGACTTCCTTTGTAGATTGAGTCAGGTTTCTTCCATGAGAGCGATATGAAGATTGTGGCCAAGTCCATCCGTGACCGCGTGGCATTGATCCAGTGGCGTCGGGAGAGGATCTGGCCAGTGCTGCAGCCCCAGGAACACCAGGACCCAGGAAGCCCCGACAAGGCCAGGGGCCTGCATGTGCCCCTGCAGGTCCAGGTGACCTACCACACCCAGACTGGGCCGCTGGAGCCCGAGGAGCCCGAGGCCGACCAGCACCTCCTCCCCACTGCGCTGCCGGCTAGCGCCACCTCTCTGGCCTGTGAGTGCTGCTCTCCCCACATGTCCGCCAGTTCACTCTGTGGGTGTGGAGGATGGGTGCAGGCGAGTGTTCTTCCAGGGAGGGCATTGGGAGCATCCCTGATGTTGCACAGAAATTTGTGACCAGAGAGGTCTAAGGCTTGCTGAAGGCCAGCTTCTCAGGACAGGTGGGGACAAATGTGCAGGCAGACCCAGACCTCCAGTGCCCAAAGCCAAGAAGAACTAGAGCAGCTCAATTGGCTACTTACCCCATGTGGAGGATACCAGTCCCAGCAACATGGGGCACCTGGGGGCTCTTTCTCCCCCTGGACTCAGTGCCTGGTGGGGGCATCTGTGTCAGAACACTGTCGCCCTTGGGGGCTGCCAGTGACTCAAGTTTGAGTAGTCATGCTGCTGTGACCTTTGTCTTCAGGAGTTTCCATCCCCAAGATTATCTCTCCTAGTGTCAAACCTAGACCCTTTGTTTTTTTCTCAGGGAGGTTACTGGTGGGTAGTGACATCACTATACCTGGCTTCATCTCAGACCAGTGGAAGAGTCTAGACAGAAATGTGTCCTGCGTTCGCCCTCGGTGTCCTGAAAATGCAGCTGTGAGCTGTGTGTGGAGGCTGTAGCCTTTTCTGTCTCTGAAAAGGCACAGAGAGTTTCAGAGCCATTCAGCCTGCCCAGGGGACTGTTTCAGGTTGTTCAAGTGGAAAGACTAAAATAGTCTGTTTGATTTATTTAATAGGCACATCCTACCATTAAAAGAGCTAAATATTTTTCAAAGTAGGCTATTTAAACTAAAACCAGTGACTGGCCATCTCTTTGAGACAGTTTGCTTACTGTTTACTTCTTTCCAACCTACTCATGCTTGTTTCGGAGAACAAAACTGCTATATCATCATGTTCCAGTTTATGATAAACCAAAAAAATTTATTGAAGAGCATAAACTTTTTGTAGGAAAAAGCATTATACACTTTAAAACTGTAATTGTTTTACAATTTGTTTTACAAATTGGTTGAACAATTTGTAGGATAGGAATGAAGAAATTCCCTTTCATTGCACTTTGAAAAGACACAGTTTGGGACCTAAAATCCACTCCACTGTGGTAAGATGCCAGGTTTGACCCACTGTATAGACACAATGGGTTCAACGATGAGTTCACTTCAGGGTGGTCATTCTGTGTGCAAACAGACTCTTTCCTGTCCAATTCAGAGGATTCTGTGTGCTTTATGCACCAGCCATGCTTCTCTGCCATGAGAAGTAAATGTTGAGAGATAAAACGTTTTTACCCATTTATTGTAATTTCTTTAAAGTAGGCAATATATTCATATACAATTCAAAAAATCCAAAGCAAAAGCCAGTTAATTTCCTTCCTGGGAGACCACTGGTGTTACCTGTGCCTTAATTAACTTTCAGAGATAACCTACACATGTAATTATTCACATGCATGCATATATACACCCCCTCTCACACACTCCTGCGTCTCCCTCTGTTTCTTAACCCACAGCACCCTGCACACTCTCAGCACTTTGCTCTAGGTCAGAATAGAAAGCCTCTGCACAGTCGTCCGTCTGGCGACAGTGCCTGTGGATGGCTGGAGCATGCTGTGCTTCATAAAGGTGAAGTGATAGGGACACCAGGCAGCACACATGTCACCAGAGAAAGGACCTGATCATAGGTAACACAATGGGTAAGCACACTGGTAGGGTACAGCAAACATATTTTATGCGTCTTTGTTACGTGTTCTGTTAGTTGCCCACCACAGTCCAGACCAAGCTCAATGAGAGGGTTTGGCCCAGCACCCAGTGACTGTGAGAATGCAATTTGTTGAGAGGTTTAAGAACTATTTTTAAAATTTAATTTTTAATTATACAAATAGTAAATACGTCCACTTTAAAAAAATTTAAAAGTTACACAATATGGCTTGAGTTGTTTTATGTGAAATTTATCAGGACTCCTCACATTCTGTTGTGCAACTCTCTGTCTCTGTCTCTCTCTTTTTCTTCTCTGTCTCTCGTGCACTCAGTCTTTCTCTGTCTCTGTGTCTTTCTTTGTCTCTGTCTCTTTCTGGTAACAGACTCTGCTTCTCCTTCTCCTTTTTCTGTGTAAGTAGAAATGACTACCAGACACCTCATTAAAAATCAGAGCTACTTGTTTGATTGGTTTTGCATAATCAAACCTCAGCATTTTTATGTCTCTTAGGTTAAAGTAAGTTCTCATCAGCCCTGGGGAAAAATTATTTTTATACAAAGCTGACAAGGTTTCCTTTTTACTTTATTTGTTTAAGTGGACACAGTGTTGACAATCTGAAAGATGGCCCCCTGTAGAAATAGCTTGGTGTTCAAAGGTGGCAAATTGTATTGTTTGTGTAGCTTTTGGAACCTGGAAGCAATAAACCAGAAGTGCCATTTTAAATAGGTTTTTGTTTTGCACTTTTTGCTGACACAACCACACAGGTGACCTGTTCTCCTTGGTGCATTTAGTCAGAAGAGCCTGTGGGCCATGTGGGTCCTCTCTGCTCCCTCCTCAGACCCCCTTCCCACCTAGGTGTGGGTGGCTCCATCCACTGGCAGTTTCACTGGCAGTGCTGGGCTGACTGCAGGTGAGGCTGTGGAGCGTCCAGGTCTCCTCTCATGGCTTCTCTGTGGAGTGGGAGCCTTGTTAGCCCCATTTTCCAGCCGAGTTAGACCTGACCCATGACTTGAGGGGATGTTTTTTGGACCCAGATCTCCTGCTTCAGACCCTTTGCCACTGTAAGCAAAGGTGGTCAGGGTCTTGAGACCCCCTCCCCCCATCATAACACGCAAGTGATAATTGATTGGAACTTTTCCTAACTTGAACATTACAGACTCCCAAGACCCCTTGTACCTTTGAAAAGATGAACGAGTCTCAGTTTCGTGCTGTGTGAGGTCCCTGTCTAAGCCATGGTGGACACAGCTGTTATGCCTATGAGGACTGTGTGAGGTGACCCCTTGAGATCTGTGGTGGACCACAGCACCCTCCACATGTGTCAGGCAGTGTGATGGGCTGCCAGGGTCATCTCTGGATGGTGCTGTTAGCCCCAGTACCACTCTGTAGGCGATTGTGTAAAATGATGCACATTTATTACTTACATGATCTGGAAATACAACCAAGTCTTTGTTTTACAGAAGACAACATATTGATGAGCTGAGCGTTCATGTGTGAGCCCACATTTGCGTTCCCTGAGCCTTGTGTGGAATGCCATGGGGGTGATGTTTGGGGTCCCCACTCTGAGCCGTGCCTTTGTCCTCCCCAGCGGACAGCACGTTCGACAGCGGCCAGGGTTCCACCGTGTACTCGGACTCGCAGAGCAGCCAGCAGAGTGTGGTGTTGGGCTCACTGGCAGATGCAGCACCACTCACCGCCCAGAGTGTGTGCAGTCCCCCCGTAAGCATGAGCGAAGGGCCTGTCCTGCCGCACAGCCTGCCCTCGCTGGGGGCCTACCAGCAGCTGGCCACGGTGAGTCAGAGACCCCCATCCACACGGCCTGGAATCTGTGAGGGGCCATCTAGGTTGTGCTGGCTTGTGGTCAGTTCCCAGCCATGCAAAAGCAGGTCCACTGGAGGTCCATCCTTGTCGTTAGCTGGAGCAGCCTGTGACCTACCCTGAGAGACCTGCCTGGTGAGAAAATACAAAAAACAGAGCCCAGAGACACCTAGTGCTTGCAAAGTTGTGATAAGCTGACAGGGTCCCATCCTCAGACTGGTGCAAAAGTGACAGAAAGGCATCATTTATAGTAATGAAAACTTTGATTTTTTCTCTCCACCTTCACTGATGGGGTAGCACCTCTCTACTGGGTATTATGCAGCCGTTAAAAGTTAAGAGGTGTGGAAGGGGCTGAGTCATGAGAAACGTTTTCAGTGATGTTTAAGAAGCAGGATTGAAAGGGCCTCATGCTTATGCCTATGGATTGATTTGTAAGCCTGATAGATGAAATGGAAATTGCTAGGTGGGAGGTCACATTTGGCATTTAATTTTCAATTTTGATTTATTCGTAATGCCAAAAAAGCAAATGCTTGCTTTGCAGTCCTTAGCCATCAGAGAGGTTGCCCTTGAGGCAGGTGGTGGAGTGGGGTCCAGAGAGAGAGATTTAGACCTCCTAGGCCTAGGAGTGGGTCAGGGCCAGATGCCCTTTTCTATGGGAGCTGCTCCTGCCTGATGCTCTGGTTCCTCGGGCCCTCATTCAAGCTTTTGCCCACATACTCCTTGCCTGTGGCCACTTTCTGGGTACTGCAGCCTTTTTGGCTACCCATCTGTCTTCCCTCCCATTGTCTTCTCTGGTTCAGAGAGTCCTTTTGGAAAAGCAGTGGAAGCGTTTGCCTTTGCTGATCAGAGTCCAGGACTCATTGGCAGTTAGCATTTGCAGTTTTTCTCGTTTCATAAAATGAAGTGAAGTAGTTGTAAGTGGCAAGGAGCAGCTCCTTTAGGAAAAGGCTCCTTCTTGCTCAGAGCTCTGTTTCTTGGCTTTGGGTTTGCTCATGCTGGAGCTGAGCAGGTCTTCAGCCTTTCCAGACGCAGGGTCAGGGAACCCCTGACCCACAGTGGGCTCTTGGGCCACCTCTCTGGCAGCCCTCTGCCTGACCCAACTTCTACTTGCTGACTGGGAAGGCCAAGCACAGGGAGGTCAAAGGCTGGCCAGTTAAGACGTACCCCAAGATGTGGACAGAGCGCTTTCTCCCATTTCTTGCCTGTTTGTGCAAAAATAGCTTGGACACAAGGGTGGGGACTGCAGGGAGTCCCCAGGGTGCACCCGGGTCTCCTGGGGAGGGTTGTTGTTGTGATGGACCCCCAGAACCCAGTGAAGGAGAAGAACAGGGTGGGGGGATTGGGAGCAGAGCCACTCTTCTGGGGCCTCCTGTGCCTGAGTCTTGCTGGGCCAGGGCTGTGGCTGGAGAAGCAGTGTACTTGGCCATTCATACCTCACCTTGCTTCTGGTAAAAGCACAGACAGGTTTTGTGCCACCTGTGTTGCTTTTCATAATGTTTTTACTGTGAAAGATGGAAACGGCCAATAGCAGTTTTCAGGTGATGAACTATTGTCACCTGATTCATCCGGAAAACGTCCAGTGAGAGAACTTTCCCTGTCATTGTGGAGAGCCAGGCCCTTACCTCAGTCATCTCTGTGTTGAAGCCTGTTTCCCCCATCTCCCAACCTGCTCCTCACTTCCCCATTATTTTGAAGTAAATCCTAGACAGACATTTTGCCCATAAATATTGCAGTTTGTATCTCTGGGTTTTGAAAACAAAACCCTATACCATTACTACACCTAAAAAAAAGAATAAATTAGCAGCAGTTCTGAATAGGATCAAACACCTAGTGCTCAGATTCTGACTCTGTGCCATACTTTATCTGCACTGTAGCCCCATTTCTCTGACCAAGTCACTGGAGACCCTAGCACTGCAGAATGCCCCTCTGTCTGGTGCAGTCCTGCTGTTTCTTTCCACGTTTCTGTATTTTTGTGAACAGATACATATATGTATACATGTTATACAGTTCTGTAGACAAGAAGAATATGCATTTGTATCTTCGCCCTGCTGGTGTCATAACAAGCGTTTCTCCACGATTTTGCAAAGCCCTTAAAATGGTCTTTTCTTATGGTTGCATAATATTCTGTGGTGCAAATGTTCCAGAATGTTACTTGGTTAGGGCTGTGGCCATTCTTGGTGTAGGGGCCACCACACCTTGCTTCTGCAAGTCATGTTCCTAGGAAACCCGTTTCTGGAAGGACGATGGGCACAGGGAGCAAGAGATGGGTCCCTGTGGCTGTCAAGCTCGTGGCTGGGTTGGGGGTCCTCAGGGCAGCCACTGAGTGTGGCACCTGACGCTCTCCGCAGACCGGCCTGTCAGTGGGCTCTGTCCCGCTCCCCACTCTTGCTCCGCTCCCACCGCAGCATTTCCCGGAGCCAGCCATGAGCTTTGCCCCTGTGCCAACTGGCTCAGGCCAGCCCATGCCCTCAGGCCACCAGGTGAGTGCGGGCCCTCCTCCTTATGACCACCGCTGGCACCTCGGCCTCCCCTGACAGTCAGTCTTGGCTGACCTGGGTCCTGGGTACAGAAGGGAGTGTGGGTGGGTCTCTTGTGTCTGCAGAATTCATGACCCACATCACTTGGAGGGGCCTTATTCACACATAGCAGTTCTTACAGATATGCATGTCCTGGGCTCCCTGCTGGGTGTGCATGTGTGCACATGCATGTGATTGTGTGTACGTGTGTGGGGGGGTGGGTATGTGTGCATATGTGCATGTATATGCCTGTGTGTGCACACACGTTTGCTGATTTTCTCTGTCATGTCTAAGCACCTGGGGCACCTCTCAGCAGGATGCTGGTCTAAGAGAAGCTCCTTCTCCCTCCAGCCACCTACGCTGGCCCAGCCAGCACCTCTGCCACAGGTCCTGGGCCCAAAGCCTGTGGGTCCTCTCCAGTCGGTGCCCCCTCATCTGCCTCCGTACCTGGCTCCGACCTCCCAGGTGGGCCCGGCTCAGCTGAAGCCCCTCCAGATGCCACCAGTGCCCCTGCAGCCACTCACTCAAGTCCCTCCACAGGTACCTCACCCTTCTGGTGCTCCACCTTCCTCCCTCAGTGGGTCTTTGGTGCCTGCCTACCCTCTGTATCTGTATCAGGTGCATCTAGGATGGGGAGAAGCCAGGAAAGAGCTGTGAGTACACAGCTATGGTCACAGCCTATCCTTTGAGCCATTCGGGGCCATACTGACATGGCTCTTAGAAACAGGGGTGGGGGAGTATCACATGACCAGTGACACTTGATAGCACGTGGTTGGTGCTTGGATACCATCCCCCAGGCTAATGTCATTGATGGTCATGGAGACAGCTATCACCTCATGGTGTGTCACAGGCCTGTGATGATAAGTGCCACTTTATGTGGAAGGTATGAGTGTCTGTGAGGTTTACCCCACTACCCAGAAGGTTCTTACCTGTCTGCTGTCACCTGTCACCTGACCTCATCCTTATCATGTCATGTTAGAATTGCTTTCACTGTGTGGTTAAACCACCACCTTGCTTGTTGTGGTCATGGCATTTAGGTGCTTTTCAAATACACAAAAATTGATCTGCACATTTTCACTGCCTTGAAATTACACAAAGTCATTGATTATGTGATGCTTTTGTGCCTGCCACTAAAAAGGCTTTAATTTTTTAAAAATCCTCTCCTGAGGACATTTTTTTTCATTGCTTTTAGAAAGAGAGAGGGTAGGGGTGGAGGGAGTTTGAGAGAGAGAGAGAAAGACATTGACTGGTTGCCTCTCATAGGCTCCCTAACTGGGAATTGAACCTGCAACCTTTTGGTACATGGGATGATACCCCCCAAAACTGAGCCACACCAGCCAGGGTAAAAGGCTTTATTTCAGAACAACAGTTTTCAACCCTTTTTATCTCGTGGCATATATAAACTAATTACTAAAATTCTGTAGCACACTGAAAGATATTTTTTTTTGCCGATTTGACAAAAATGTAGTATAATTTTAATTCATTTATACCAGGTGGCTATTGTATTGGCTTTTTTTTTTTTTTAATTTGACAATGTAAAGGAAAAGAGGTCAGTGTCCCTGACTAAATAATTGGGTATTGCTTGTTTTAAAAATTCTTGCAGCACACCCATTGCAAATCACTGTTTTCGAGAGAGAACTGACACAGAAGAATCTGCTGAAGTTTTTAAAACGCAGACTCTGTGAGATTAGATATCAGATGTCTTTGACTAGATGTGGAAGGTTTGGGACCTTCCACTGTGTAGAGATGCCATTCTCCCCCAGTCCTTGTGGCACAACCACTGTGGGGACTCAGAGGTGTGCTTTCCCCAAGAGAACCCGATAAATAATTTGGTCTTTGTGAATTTATGCAGATTGGGGAAAATTGGGCAAAGTAATTTCAGATGTTTGGGGCCTGTGTGGTGGCTCTGATCGTCCTAGTCTTTTTGGAAGGAAACTGAAGCTGGTGGTCACTACTGTGACCCCTCAGATCTGAGCTGCTCCTCCCATCCTGGGAACTTCCGTGGTGGTGCCTAAGGGGACTCCCCAGTTTGTTCCCGCACCCTTCTGCCTTTCCTCCTCTGGTTGAATGTGTCATACACTTGGTTTCATTTAAATTGGGTTTACCTTTGGGTTCCCTTGGCAGCAGCTCCATAGAAGTGTCTGAGGCAGAAGCTGCAGGGGTTATTGCTCTTCTTGTCCGAGGCAGTCATGCCTCCAGTGGGGCTGAGCTCCAGGGAGTTGACATGCGTATGTCTCTTTCAGATGTCTCCACTTCCTGTCATCCCACCGGTTGCTCCTCTGACCACAATCGACAGCCTCCCTGGAGCCCTCTCCGACCTGCCGGCTGCGAGCGGGCCTGCCGTGCCTCCCCCATCTCAATATTTCTCACCTACTGTGATCTTGCCAAGTCTCCCGCTCAGTGCCGCTGCTCCCCTGCCCATGTCGCCAGCCCTGCCTCTGCAGGCAGTGAAGCTGCCCCATACCGCCGGGGCCCCACTGGCTATGCCGTGCCAGACCCTTGTGCCAAATGTGGCAGCTGCCACCACTGCCGTCCCTCTGCTGGCTGTGGCCCCACAGGGAGCGGCTACCCTGTCCATCCATCCTGCCGTGGCCCAGCTCCCGGCCCAGCCCGTGTACCAGGCAGCCTTTCCACAGATGGTGCCCAGTGACATCCCCCCTTCTCCCCTCCACACGGCACAGACTGTGAGGGCCACCCCTCTGCAGCCAGCGCCCCCCATGCTGTCGCAGCCCCACCAGCCAACCATCGCCCACCTTCCTGAGCAGACTGCTTCGGCCCCCAGGGTGGGGAGCCAGGTAATCCACCTGCCGGGCAAGGCCTGTTCTCCAGGCACTGGGAGACCCCTTAGTACCAAGAGATGTGAATGGTCCATGGGCTTGTGCTCCTCCTCAGCACCTTGGCTCGAGGGCATAGGCAGAGGAGGGTCAGGTGTGCAGGTAGTGCTGTCCCACAGGCTTGGCTTCTCATCACTGTGGGGGTGTCTGCTGCCTCCTCCTACTCCCAGCATGTGTCAGGAGCCAAAGGTTCCACCATGGGCCCTTCCCAAGGGTTAGTAGCATCAGCTCATGGTGGGGTTCCCAGCCTTGCCGGATGTTGCGGCACCTGCCCTCGCCTAGGTGGGGCCTGGCAGCCTCCATGCAGCGGTGTCAGCCCATCTGTGGGAGCTGGGGAGGCTCATACTGCCCGTCTTGTCACCTGTCAAAAGGAGGTAGGTGGATAACCCCCATGTCAGCAGGGAAACGGGGCAATCAGGGTTCTGGGAGGGGTTGTCTGTCAATTGTGGTCCGGGCAGGGCTTGGGGCACATGGCTGCTGTTTCCAAGATGGTCGTGGTAGGCAAGGATGATGTCCCAGAGTCAGGAAGGGACCTTAGGCAGTTCACCAAGGTGACAGCGAAGGGACACAGGAAGATCCACCATGCTGGTGGGCGAGTCTCCCAGTGGTTCCACATGCTGGTGCAGCCCCAGCATGTTTTAGTGTGTCAGGGCTGTTATCTGGCCTTGTGTTGAAGAGAGGAGTGGTGTGGGACACCTCTCACCTGGACACCTTCTCACCTGAGCACCCTCTTACCTGGGGTGATCCTCTTATTTGGGAACCCTCTCACCTGGGCAAGTTCTCCCCTGGGTGCCCTCCCACCTGGCCCTAAACCTGAATAGCTTTCTGCCTGTGGGCACCATTCTTTCCTTTTAATGCTTAGACTTTTCCCTATAAGATGGGGCTGATATTCCCTTGTGATTCTGTCGGGAAGATTCATCCCAAAGCCTGGGAGGATGCCAGATAACCCAGCTCATAGCCACTTACTCTAGTCTGGACTAAGACTCTATGTCCTGAGTGAATGCAGATGATCCTGGACATGCTTCTTGCTGTTTGAGTCCTGGGAGGGATTTGTACTTGGAGAAGGAAGGGATGGTTTTTATTGACTAATAGGATGACATTTGTGTAGACATGAGTGTGAGGCGGCAAAGCAGTCCAGTGCCCTGACTGAGCAAGCAGCTGGACAGCTCGTCTGAGTAACGTCCACTCATGGGTTAGGGCCATTTGAGGAAATACAGGCCCATTTGGAGGTTTGGGGTCTGCGGTGTCAGGGTCTGGACAGGCACCTAGCTGGCCTAGCGCACTATTGGCACTGGGTCATTAGCATAGTGCATTCAGGGGTCACCCTCGAGGCCAGTGGCCTCCCACTGCCTGGGTGAAAGTGGGTCTAGGGTTTGTTGATGGGCTGGGCCAGCCACCCTACAGGCTTCCCCGTGGCCGATCAGTCTTGTGCCAGCAGGCCCAGCAGGGGTCATTCTGTTTCTGACCACATTCCCAAACTGGGGCAGGATGGAGTCTTCCACCCTTTCACCTATTAGCATTTCCACTAAGAGCTTTCAAAGAGGGAACAGTGGGGAGTTGGGCCCAGCTCCTAGGTTACCCCAAGGAAGGCTGAGATCCAGGGCCCCTCCCTCAGGAAGCAGGGGTTGGGGCAGTGTTTGGTCCACTTAGGGCTTCTCAGCCAGACTCAGCTAGATGTGCATAAGTGAAGTGTGGTTTTAGGTTAGATTTTATGTAAGTGCCAACTCAAGAATACTTTTTTGTTGTTCTTTTTTCTAAGACTGTGTAAAACATTCTCTGAGGCTAGAGCTTGCTTGTGTCAGGTGTGGGTGCATTAGAGAGGGACCTTTCAACACCCACACCCCAGGTGTGTCCACCTGCCTGGACAGGGAATCACCTGCTGTGCCCCAGGATGCCCAGGGCCCCTCAGGAATGGTGATGGCACTCCGACTTGCATCCCTGTCTTCTGTGCTTACAGATCCTGCTTGGCCACCCACCTTCATATGCAGTGGATGCCACTGCCCATGTACCCACAGTTCCTGCTCCTGCTGCCGTCCTCTCCCCACCTCTCCCAGAAGTGCTGGCGCCTGCCACCCCTGAGCTCCTGCCTCAGCTCCCCAGCTCCCTAGCTCCCACAGTGGTGGCTGCTTCCCAGGGCTTGCCTGTCCAGACCTCTGCGCTGCTGCCATCTGGTAAACTGCCACTGACCAGTGGGCCTGGGATCTCCAACTTCTGCCCAGCTGTCCAGTTGGCTGTGGAGTTGGCTCCAGAGGTGTGTGCCCTACCCTTGGGGCTAGGCCTCCAGCATGGTACCTTGATACCTGGCCCCTGGGCTTTGTCTCAGCCCTAGACGTGGGGAAGGTGGAAGTGTGGGCCTTGGGACAGCCTTGGGTGCCTTTCTTGTCTTCCTCTACTGTCCGTAGGTATCACATTTTCTTTAAATGCAGGTGGAAGGTGTGATCTTTTATACTTAGATTTAGGGTGCTTTCCCTTGGTAATGGGAAAACCTTTGACAAGCTATCCTGAGCCTGCATGCTGCCTTCGTAGAGATGATCAAAGTGGGTTAGCACGTTTGGAAAAGGGAGGGCCCAAACTTTTAGGAATCTGCTTGGCTTCCACAAGATGAAAACCCTCACACTAGCTGCCCTGTGTGGTCTGCTTGCTAAAGTCAGAAGGATCAGGCAGTGGGCTGGGCTGGGCTGTGCTGTGGGGGAGCGAACGTGACCCATCCTCCTTTCCATGGTTGTATTTCAGGAGCAGGCCTCACAAGACAAGCAGTCTGGCCTCCTGCAGAGCTGTGAGAGGTAAACGGCCCGGCTGGGATGGGGATAGCGTTGCCCAATGGGCCAGCTTAGCCTACCTGCCGTTGTGTCACAGGGATCCTGCCTTGCTTTCTCCTCTTGCGTCAGGGCTTCTAATGACATCAGCAGTACCCAGCCTGACCTGGTGGAGTCTCAGGGAGTTCCTCTGGGATCTTTGTCAGCACTTGCTGAAATTGGTTGTCCAATGCTCCAGGGTGTGTTTTGGGTCTTAGCACCGGTCTGTATGCCAGGGGTGTTCCAGATTAAAGGTTGGGGACCAGGGCAGAGTACAACCCACGCCCCTGGTCTCCCAGTTCCTCCCTGCTGGGCACCTGTAGTTGCCCAGTCATGGGGCATGTTGAGTTTGGGAGGGAATTGGTTACAGGAAGTGACCCTGTGTCCCACCCTTCGTGTATGTTAACACCAAGCTTACTGCTTTGCAAGCTCTCCTTAAATCTTGCAACAACCCCTTGGAGAGGGCATGTTCCAGTTGCTGTTGCACAGATGGGGAAACTGAGACATGGGAGAGGATTGTTTCTTGATTTTGATGTTTGCCATGAGCCGGTCAGGAGGCTGAGAGGACTAAGGTCCTGGGTCAGAAAACCCATGCGTCCCCCACAACCTAGACACTGCCCAGGACAGGGGGTGGAGGTGCTACAGGTTTGGGGGTTTCTTTCCTAGTCACGGCTGGCTTCAGGCCCTCTGGGTTTTCCAGCTGAGCACATCCAGATACTAAATATTCTGGCTGTTTTCCTGAAAAGCTAAGCTTCCCAAGTGAGGCCAGATTGCAGGTTGTTTTTGTGGACCCCATAACATTCTTTTCCCACAGCTATGGAGGATCTGATGTCACTTCTGGAAGAGAACTGAGTGACAGCTGTGAAGGCACATTTGGTGGGGGGAAGCTGGAAGGCAAGCCTGCCCGGAAACATCACCGCAGATCCACACGCATGCGGTCCCGCCAGGAGAAGGCCAGCCGGCCCCGGCTGACCATCCTGAATGTGAGGAGACAGGTGTGGTTGGCTGGCGGGTGTTGGGTTGGCTGGGTGCGGTCTCCTACCTGGTCTCACTGCCCTAGTGTCCCTTAGGTATGCAACACAGGCGACAAGATGGTGGAGTGCCAGCTGGAGACGCACAACCACAAGATGGTGACATTCAAGTTTGACCTGGATGGGGATGCACCTGACGAGATTGCCACCTACATGGTAAGTGGGTGTCCTTCCAGGCTGACTCAACAGCCCTATGTCTCGTGGGTTGGTAAGGCTGTCTCCTCCATGTCCTTGGGGCACTCGGCTGCCTGCCCTGCTTATTATCAGCCTTCCCTGTCCTCTGGCTTCTGCAGGTGGCTGCCTTCTGCTCAAGGCATGACTTCTCTTGCTGAGCCGTGCAGCCCTGGGCGCAGGGCCCAGCCCCCGGCCATGTCTCCCCACTGGGGTCTAGTGCAGAGCAGAAATAAAGCAAATCAGTCAGTGAAGACCTGGCAGACCGGTGGTGTGTCCCCACCAGCAGGGCTGTGTGTGCATTGCAGGTGGAGCATGACTTCATCCTGCAGGCTGAACGGGAGACATTCATCGAGCAGATGAAGGATGTCATGGACAAAGCAGAGGACATGCTCAGTGAAGACACAGATGTGGACCGTGGCTCTGACCCTGGGGCAAGCCCACCACCTCTCAGTACCTGCAGCATGGGTGCTGGAGAGGTGAGTTGGGATGCTGGGTTTTGGGAGGGCCAGGGCCTGCCTACGCCCCAGCTCCAGGCTCTGACACAATGTTGGGACGTTGCCTGGTGGCTGGAGGAGCCTGCAGGGTATGCAGCATTGGGTGAGGTAGCTGGGCACAGGGTGCCCTCAGCTCAGTTGGAAATACCGGAGCTCCGAGGCCCTCGGAAGTTCCGAGGCCATGCTTTGCTCCCATTTCTCGGTCCACGCAGTCTGCTGATATCTGACCCTTTACCTCCCTCAGGAGAGTCGCCAGTCCCAAGCAAACGCCCTGGTGTATCAGCAGAATGGTACGTCTGCCTCCAGGGCCATACCCCCACCAGGCTTACCTTACGGGAGGCTTTTCTGTCATTGTCCCTTCTGTCTTCCAGCAGGCATTTGATAAAGAGACCCATTGAGCATGTTGTTAGGGGTTAGGCCATCACACTGAAGGGCTGATGGAGTTTCTATATAATACCCTCATCTTCCCCCTGCCTCTAAATGTCTGCCCTGTCTGTCCCAGGTGTTGACTGAGCATGGCGTAAACTTGCCATTGCCTGCTCGTCCCCACCTGGCATTAACCCTTTAATGATGGTACCTTGGGTGTCTTGGGAATTAAGCCTGTGTTGGGGGTGCTTGTTAGGACCTCTGGCTGCCAGCAGGGAACTCATGAGTGTGCTGCATACGCCCTCACTGGTGTGAGACAAGTCCCCCAAAGTGTCATATGGCAAGTCTGGTGCCAGTGGTGTGGGTGATGCTGGGAGAAATGTTCTAGCTCTCACCAGCTGTTTTTGTCCTGCCCTTTAGTCCTGCACACTGGAAAGAGGTGGTTTATCATCTGTCCAGTGGCTGAACATCCAGCTGCAGAGGCTCCCGAATCTTCGCCCCCACTTCCTCTGGGCTCCCTGCAGCCAGAAGCCAGCCCAGGTAGGAGCAACAAGAACCCCTAGCCCTCCTGTCTGGTAACTCAGCAAACCTCTCGCCTGTATCTCCCTGCATCATCTGGCTTTACTTATGCTCACAGCTCACTGGTCTGTGCTGTGTGCCTAGCTAAGTGCAACGGACTGGTCCTACACTGTCATTCCAAAGCTCAGAGCAGCCTGCAGGTCTGTATTCCTCTCCAGGTCTTCTACCAAATGAGCCAAGTCAAGGCAGTACCCAGGCTTGGGGCTGCTGGTCGCCTTTGCTGTGGAGGGGATGCACATGGGCTGCACAGGTGTGTGCTGAAAGGCCTCTGACCTTACTACTTCTTACCAGTGTCATCTTGCAACTCTTAACTCCCTGCATCTCCCCTCGATTTGGCTCACCTTCAGGGGTGCCCTTCTTGTTTTTCTTGTTTTGGGATGAGATGGGAAAGTCTCTTGTAGTGCTAAGACTCTGACTTGAAATTGTCACCAAGGAAAATGACGGGGATATTGATTTTTATGTGGGTGGACTGATGCCAGCAAGCTTGCCCTTGGGGCTGTCAGTTAAGTCCTCATTTTTGTGGCCCCTGAGGGGTCGAAAATAATCACTTAAACAGATTTAAGCTTTGATTCCTTATATGCTGGCAGGGAAACGTTGCTGATTATATAACTTGACCTTACTTTATGGTACAGTAGTCCTCCTTATCCTGTTTTCACTTTCTGTGTTTTGAGTTACTTGCAGTCAACTGTGGTCCAAATATACTAGATGGAAAAATCCAAGAAATAAACAGTCTATAAGTTATTTATTTATGTGTATTTTTAAAAATTTTATTGACTTTATTGGGGTGACATTGGTTAATGAAATTATATTGGTTTCAAGTGTACAGTTCGATAATACATCATCTGTATATCATACTGTGTGTTCACCAGCCCAAGTCAAGTCTCCTTCTGTCACCATCTACCCGCCCTTTACCTTCTTTTACCTCCCCCTTCCCCTTCATTTCTGGTAATCACCATACTGTTAGTGTCTGATGTTTGTTTAAAATGCATTTTTATTGCCTTTTTTTCCGTTACCATTCTTCCCCTTATACCCTCTCCCACCTCCATTTACCCCTGCCCCGCTCTGTCACCTCACTGTTGTCCATGTCCATGAGTCCTTTTTCTTTTTAGCTCATTTCCTTCACCGCCTAAACTGCCCCACCCCCAGAGCTCTCATCCTACTCTTTATCTATGAGTCTGTCTCTATTCTGCTTGTTAGGTCACTTTGTTCATTAGGTTCCACATATGAGTGAAATCATGTGGTATTTGTCTTTCTCTGAATGGCTCATTTCACTAAACATGATTTTCTCCAGGTCAATCCATGCTGTCACAAAGGGTAAAATTTTCTTCTTTCTTATGGCTGAGTAGTATCATATTGTGTAAATGTACCACAGTTGTTTTATCCACTCATCTACTGATGGACACTTGGGCTGCTTCCAAATTTTGACTATTGTAAATAATGCTGCAATGAACATAGGGGTGCATATATTTTTTCAAATGAGTGTTTCGGGTTCCATTTTTAATTTTTTTGAGGAAACTCCATATTGTTTTCCACAGTGGCTGTACCAGTCTGCATCCCTACCAACAGTGCAAAAGGGTTCCCCTTTCTCCACATCCTTGCCAGCATTTGTTGTTTGTTATTTATGGATGATAGCTATTTTGACAGGTGTGAGGTTTTAATTAGCATTTCTCTGATGCTTAGTGAAGTTGAACATCTTTTCATAGGCCATTGGCCATATGTATGTCCTCTTTGGAGAAGTGTCTATTCAGGTCCTTGGCCCATTTTTTAATTGGATTGTTTGTTTTTTTGGTGTTGAGTTTACTAAGTTCTTTATAAATTTTGGATATTAACCCCTAATCAGATGTATTGGTGAGTATGTTCTCTCATTCAGTGAATTGTCCTTTTATTTTGTTGATGGTTCCTTTGCTGTGCAAAAACTTTTTAGTTTGATGTAGTCCCATTTGTTTATTTATTTTTTGTTCCCTTGCCTGAGGAGATATATCAGAAAAATTATTGATATGAGCAGTGTCTGAGATTTTACTGCTTATGTTTTCTCCTAGGGTTTTTATGCTTTAGGGTTTAATGTTTAAGTCTTTAATCCATTTTGAATTTATTCTTCTGTGTGGCATAGGAAGGTGGTCTAGTTTCATTTTTCTGAATGAGTATGTCCAATTTCCCCACACCATTTATTGAATAAACTAGCCCACTGTATGTGCTTGCTTCCTCTGTCAAATATTAATTGACTATAAATATGTGGGTTGATTGCTGGGCTGTCTATTCCATTCCATCGTTCTATGTGTCTGTTTTTATGCCAGTACCACGCTGTTTTGATTACTGTGGTCTTATAGTATAGTGTCATACTAGGTAGCAAGATTCCTCCAACTTTGTTCTTTCTCAAGATCACTTTTTTGGTTCCATATAAATTTTTGAAACATTTTTTCCAGTTCTGTAAAATACATCATTGGTATCCTAATAGGAATTGAGCTGAATCTATAGATTGCTTTGGGTAGTATGGACATTTTAATGATGATAATTCTTCCTATACATGAACATGGCATGCACTTTCACTTACTTGTATCTTCTTCAATTTCTTTCTTTAGTGTCTTATAATTTTCCAAGTACAGGGCTTTTACATTCTTGGTTAGGTTTATTCCTAGGTATTTTATTCTTTTTGTAGCAATTGCGAATGGGGTTGTCTTCTTAATTTTCCTTTCAGATAGTTCCTTTTGGCATGTAAAAATGCATCTGATTTCTGGATATTAAATATGTATCCTGCTACTTAACTGAATTCACTTATCAGTTCTAGTAGTTTCTTGGTTACATCTCTAGGGTTGTCTATGTATGATATCATGTCATCTGCAAATAATGACATTTTTACTTCTTTTCCAATTTGGATGCCTTTTATTTCTTCCTGTGTGATTGCTATGGCTAGGACTTCCAGCACTATTTTGAATAAGAGTGGAAAAAGCGGACATCCTTTTCTTGTTCCTGATCTTAAGGGGAATGCTTGTAATTTAGGCCCATTGAATGTGATGCTGGCCGTATGTTTTTCATATATGGCCTTTATTGTGTTGAGGCATGATTCCTCTATTCCCACTTTGCTGAGAGTTTTTATCCTAAATGGGTGTTTGATTTTACCACATGCTTTTTCTGCATCTATTGATTACGCCCTGTGATTTTTAGCTTTCATTTTGTTTATATGCTCTACCACATTTATTGATTTGTAAATATTGTTATCAACCTTGAATCCCTAGGATAAATCCCACTTGATCATAGAGTATGATCTTTTCAACGTATTGCTGGATCTAGTTTGCTGATATTTTGTTGAGGATTTAAGCATCATGGTCATCAGGGATATGGTGACCTTGAGAATTTGAGAAGGGCAGGTGTTAGTTCTTCTTTGAATCATTGGTAAAATTTGCCTGTAAAGCTATCTGGTACAGGACTTTTGTTTGCTTTGAGATTTTTGATTACTTCTTCAATTTCATTAGCTATTATCAGTCTGTTCAGGTTTTCTGTTTCTTCTTGATTCATTTTTGGAAGAGTGTATGTTTCTAGAAATTTATCCATGTCACCCAGGCAGTCCATTTTCTTGGCATGTAGTTGTTCATAGTATTTTCTTATAATCCTTGTTATTTCTGTGATGTCAGTTGTTAATTTCCCACTTCATTTCTGATTTAATTTATTTTGGTCCTCTTTGTTTTCTTCTTGATGAGTCTGGTTAAAGGTTTATCAGTTTATCTTTTCAAATAACAAGCTCCTGGATTCATTGATCTTTTGACTTGTTTTTTTTCAGTCTCTGTGTCATTTTTTTTCTCCTCTGATCTCGATAATTTCCTTCCTACTACTCACTCTGGGTAATGTTTGTTGTTGTTTTCCCAGTTCTTTTAGGTGTACTGTTACATTGTTTATTTGAAATTTTTCTGTCTTCTTGAGGTAGACCTGTAATGCTGTGAACTTCCCTCTTAGGACTGCTTTTGTTATGTCCCATAGGTTTTGGACTGTTTTGTGTTCATTTTCATTAATTTCCAGTTACCTTTTGATTTCTTCCTTTATTTCACCTGTTCCCCACTTATTGTTTAATAACATGCCCTTTAGCCTCCAGGTGTTTGAATATTTTTAAGGGTTTTTTTTTTTGTGGTTGATACCTGGTTTCATGCCAATGTAATCTGAGTAAATACTTGATATGATACAAATTTTCTTGAATTTGTTAAAACTTAATTCTTGCCCTAACATGTGGTCTGTCTTTGAGAATGATCTATGTGCACTTGAGAAAAATGTGTATTCTTCTGCTTTTTGTTGAAATGGTCTGTAAATATCTATTAAATCCATTTGATGTGTGGTTTTTTTTTTTTTAACATTGCTTTTTTTGTTGTTTTTTTTTGTCCGAAGATCATTTGTGATAGTGGGGTTTTAAAATCCTCTACTGTGACTGTATTGTTGTTGATCTCTTCCTTAATGTGCACCAAGATTTTCTTTATATATTTAGGTGCTCCTATATTGGGTGCACATATGTTTACCACGGTTATATCTACTTGTTGGATTGATCTCTTTGGTATATTGTAGAGACCTTCAATATATTGTTATATAACATATATAACAATATAACAAGTATATTGTTATAGCCTTTGTTTTGAAGTCTACTTTGTCAGTTATAAGTATTGCTACTCCAGCTTTTCTTTTGTCTGCATTTGCATGGAATGTTCCATTCCTGTACTTTCAGCCTGTGTAAATCTTCTGTTCTGAGATGGTTCTCTTGTAGACCGCATAATATATATGGGTCATGTTTTCTTATCCATTCAGCATTTAATCCATGGATTGTTTAATTCATTTACATTTAAGGTCATTATTGATACTTAGTCTTGGTCATTTTTCCCCCTTTATACCCATGTTCATCTCTTTATCTTTCTTCTCCATCGTAAAGCATTTTCTTTAACATCTATTACAGTGTTGGTTGGTTGTAATGGACTCCTGTAGCCCTT